TTTTTTTTTTTGACGGTTATTTACTATTTCAACAGAACGTTGCTTGCAACCCTTTTGGTAACAATTTAAATAACAGTAAAATCTTTAAAGTTCAAGTTTCAAAATCAGTAAAACAATAATGTTGACATTTGCAGAACTAATGAAACCCAGCAACAACAACGGCCACATAAAGTCACCGCATTAAGAGTGTTGAAAACTAACAGAGCCAATAAAGTAAGTTATCAGTAAAATTTTTATTTATTAATTGCTTAGACGACAGAAGGAACTTGTTGTTCACACCAAATTATAGGAAATTCGTCGACGTGAACCACCATCAACAGGTCGTCAGCGACTAAATGCCTTAATGAACGCCTGGGAAGGTCAAAAAGGTCTTGCAGAAGTAAACGATCTAGAACTTCAGGTAATCGAAACTCTTGCATAGAAATTATTTCAACCTCAACAAATAATTGTTTTATTTGGGGTGAAAAACTTCTGCTTTTTACTAACTAAAAATAGAATAAGCAGTGAGAATTGTTTTGTCATTGCAATTAAAAAACAAAAAAAAAGTTTAAATAAAGCGCTAAAGTTGTCCTCAACGTATCACCAAAAACTGTTTTAGAGCAATCGGGACTATCTTTTGCTGCGTAAACCTGTTAGATACATTTAAATATATACGATCTTTATGCTTTGAATCAAGCAGTATTTTTTTTTGAACATTACATTTATGAAATTACATTATAACTGAGCTTTTTAAAGACGAACACCAGAAGACAGTTGAAAAGGATTAATAATCCAAGAAACACCAAAACTTTGTCTGTAAAAGCGGACTCGATAATGACGGAGTCGACAACCACAGCACCAATAGCGCAGTCGACAACCACAGCACCAATAGCACAGTCGACAACCACAGTATTAGTTGCCGACGAATGGACAACCGTAAACGACCCAAGCGGAAAGCCTGTCACTAAAAAAGTATTCCTTCTTAATAATTTTTTCATACTGCTCCAAATTTCAAATAAAGATATTTTATGAACAGCTTTACCGTTCTTTGTACTTAAAATTGTTATCATAGCTGAGTTTATCTAAGATATATTTGCCTAACTGTTATCTAGCAATGTTTTTTTATAAACTTTATTGAAAAAATTATTGCTTTAATAATAATTGTCATTGACAATTAATTCATTGAAAAATGATATAATAATTTTTAGCTATACAAAAATTATGCGCAGAATAACAAAATTTTGTCACAACAGTTTCCTACGCCATCATTCGAATCAGCCGCCAGATATCGCTTTAACAAGCATCAATCGATGACAACGACGACGTCTGAGACACTAGCGACGACAGCAGCAACGAGGACTGATGATGCAGAATCATTGTCGTCAACAGTTGTTACAGCAACAGCACCGGTAAATCCAAATTTTATGGTATTTTCGAAGGCAAAAAAGTTGGAATCAAGAGCGCAGAAAAGAAGACCGTTCACGAAATCGTCAATGGCAATTACTGCAGCGGTATCTGCAAAACCAGACAAGATGAATCAGAATCCAAAAAAGGTTTTTAAAAAATTGGAAAGAAATTATTCACAAGTGGTTACTTCAACGTTGGTCAACCAAAAACAAGAAGCAAAAAGGACTGACAACGATCGGGTAACAGAAACTTTGTTTTGATGACTTTGCAGCTACAGCTTTTCTCAGCTGTAAATTTCAGCTTCAGTAATTAGCAAAAGTTGTATTTCAGAATTTTTTCATTTTTTTCTTTTATTTTTGACCATGAATGATCCTTATTTTAATCATTTTCTATTTCTGTACTAATAAATGTCTTATTTTATTTGACTCCTAAGATTTGCTGGATATGTTGGTAAATAATTGCAAGTAAGTCAAATTGTGCTTGCTTTATTACTGTGAAGCCATAGAGGTTTATCGAAGTTTACTTTATGAAGCATTTTTCGTGCACTGAATTTTCTCTTAAGTTTTTTTTTTCAAGTTTTCTTTCAAAGCCTAAATCTCTCAAAATAAAACTGTTTCGATCGTTTTTTTTGTATCTCTGCTTGTTGTAAAAAACGTCTCATCATTTTGTTGTCTTGCTACAGGTTGCCAGAAAACTGAGGGACGATCCGATATATTCACTGGGTTCGCCACTGCGCTCATGGCACCTTCCACGAGCCGACATCGTTTCCTCACTACGCAAACATCCTGAACCTAACTTTGTTGCAGCTGATAATAATAGTAAGTAAACTATAGTATAAGCGCCATCCGCTTTTGCCATCTTAATGTGTTTTTTACACGTTGAAGGATCGGCATTAGAAAACTTACATTTTGGACTAAATAAACTTTTCTGTCGTTCAGACAAAATCTTTTTAGTAGAAAATAACTGCCATTTTTTTCTCTAATTTCTTTATCTGACTTATACAAAGTTGTTAAATTGAAACAAAAAAATTACCTATTCTAAAAATTTTTTAAAAAAGTTTAAATGCAGTGGTTGCTGGCGTCACTGTCTTAGTTACTCGTAACTTTTTTAGAAAAAAAATTTTTTTTTCAAGTTTTAGTTTTACTAATACCATTTTCTGATCTAATCAGAGCAAAAAAATTGACTGATAATCAAATCGTTTACGAAGATTACGACGGTAAAAGAAAGTGCATTATAGAGCTTTATGAAAAAACAAGAGACGGAGTCCCTGTGTTTGTACCTGAAAATGAAGAAAGTCTTCCACTTCCAGGTATTATACAACTTCAAGTCAATCTATTTAGATGTTTCAAGAAAGCAGTCAAAGAGTTGTAGAGAATTCCTTTTTTTTTCAAAACTGTAAATTATAAAAAATGTTTCTAAAGATCTTGTGTATTCAGACGGCATTTCCAAATACAAACAAAAAAAATATATGGGTAAAAAGCTGTCAAAATCAGAGCAACAAGTATGGGATCTGGATATTTTTGATGATCTTGAACCATATTCTGTCGATATGCCACCAGAAACCTTCTCTCCTGGTATAAACAATTTAATTCAGATTTATCGCTAAAGCAGTGATGAAGCACTGGATGTTAAATGAGAAAAATTCTACACGCTTTATTATTTTTTTTTTTTGTTTTTTGCAAAATGATATTCAATCATGTTTGAAAGCTTTTTCGCTAAAAAAAGACTTTCGTATTTTTTCATTACAGATGTTATGACAGACGAACTTGTTCCAATGACTTCATCTTCAGTTGACGATAATTTAAAACCGTCACAGCAAAATTTATCACAAAATTTATCTGCAAAAACATCGATAAAGAAGAACAACGGAGTGAAGGTTTCAGTATAATTTTGTTAATTTTCGCCGATGAAACAATTTTGGAAATTCGTGAATCGATTTCAGTGCTGAGCATTGATGTGCCTAGCAGATTTTTGTGTTTTGAAAACTCGATGATTAGAAATTACCGTTTTATAGGTATCGTCAAACATTAAACGTGATGTGACTTACGTGAGTCATTCCTCTCCAGAGCCTGTACAGCAGCAGGAAGAACTGGGAAGTACAATCCCATACGATCCATCGAAATTTTATCGTACGCCAACACTTCGACGATCACCATCGAAAGAGAAGAGTATAAAATTTGACAAAATATGACAATTTATCGTGGTTCTCATGTGTAGTTTCAATTATTTTTTGCTTAGTGAACGTGCTTTAGAGTTCAGCACTGCAAATTTTTATTTCAGTACTAAAATTTTGCACAAAGGATGTAGCTGTTCGAGATATCAATAATTTGGTTATCGCATGTGGTGACGACTTTGAAATTTGGCGACCGTCAAGATGTCCACAAAAATCAGAGTGCTTCTTTGCTGAAGATTCCACATACAGAATCTGTTGTCCAGTTGCTGAATCAGCATCAGTCATTCGGCCAAATCGTTTATTGTAGCCGGAACACCTAGAAAATCTTCAAAAGATTCTCAGTTCACTGTACAAGAACTTCTTGTCGTGAACACTGCACCGTTGAAC